CCTCCTGGTAAAGTTGGCTGAGATGAATAACTTCTGTATTTCGTTATTAGTGTGTAGTATAGCTCTGGCTTTGTGATTTAACGCTTGAATTGTAATCTCCTCATGTACGGTATTAACCTTCAAGTCACGATTTATAATGCCATCTCTTACATATCCCATCCCCACAGTTGCACCATCATATAATAATGCAACCCCACAGTTGTATTCCATATGTCCAAATTGGCTCGATAATTTGCTTTTATATTAGGAGTTTGTTATTGATGTTAAATTTTTGTACTTTTTAATTTCATTTTTCTTTTTTTTCATTACGTTCTCCTTTTATTTTAATTTCACGTCAAGCGTCATGCCAAGATATTTTGCAGTATTTGCATATGGTACCTATGTTGCATTGATTACAATTCTTTTGTTCTATTTTTTTGTTGGTAAAGTTGATGTGGGTGGATTTGCCTTCGTTTAATCTAACTCGCCATACTTGAGTCCACCTAAAAACTTTGTTAGTTCCCTCTGACTTTCCGTAGCCTCTTCTACTGTGTCTCTAGTACCCAAAATCGCCGTATCATCAGCAAAAGTAATTAGGGTGTAGTTTTCACTAGTGGATATATCATTGGAAAATATCAAGGACACTGCCCTGAGGAATGCCAGCCTTAGTATAAAAATAATTACAAAATTGCTGATTTATTACTCATATCACAAGATGGTCGATTATGGAATTTTGAACCTACTTCATGTAAACCGGGACGAATCGGATCTGAAAGGATCACATTTCCTCCAGGTGTTACTAGATATTCTAAATCTCGAGGACTTACAGTTGTTGGAACAATGAGACAAAATAAACGAAGCGTTCCACCAAAACTTTGAGTATCGAAATTTACCATTGTATTCGTCAACATTTGCATTAGGAGAAAATACGGTTTTGGTTTCCTACGTTGGAAGAAAAAACAAATGTTCCATTTCGCTAAGTACTTTTTATGATTCTAATGATGTTGGATGCGGACCTAGAAAATTTTCGGATATTATTGACTACTATAACTAAACAAAGAGAGGTGTAGATATAGTAGTCAAAATGGTTTCATGTTATAATGGTAAACGTCAGACAAGAGATGACCTATGGTAGTTTTCTTGAATATCATTGATTTATCAGCATTAAACGCGTACATAATTTATAACGAAAATAATTTTAAATTAGCAGGAAACGCAAAAAAAATACAAAAGAAGAATTTTTCTACATCAATTAGGGATTTCACTTGCAATATCATTTTGTACAGTCAGAATTATACAAAAAGTTCGTCAGTAACTTCTGGTAACAACCAGAACTCAAATATTAAATTTCAAGAAATTTCATCAAAACGTTTCGTAGATATGGCAAATTATGTAAAATCGGCCCAGGATCAGTTTCCGAACCCTGATCTTTCCAAAACATTTATAGATTCATTTTTTTAACACTTCGAATTTAAATGTTAAATTTCAATGAAATCGGTTGATTATTTTTCGTTATATACGCAAAAATGTATATTTGGCAAGTAGTAAACGTCCAGTTGTTGACACTTGATTTCTTCCAAAATCGAGGATGTTTCGCGAACGGTCGAATGAAGATTATATAGGAAATTTCAAGTAAATCTGTTGAATATTTTCATAAAAATGATCAAAAATGTATATCCCAAAAGTGGATTCTTTGTCATTTTCTCGAACTTGTGATACACGCGTCCACACACAAACCGACAGGTCGTTAAAAATAGTTTATTTACACTTCCCTACCATACAAGTACTTTCCCACCGAAAACTCGATATGCAAAATTTGCCTCCATCACATAACATATCACAAAACCTATTACCATTACCAATAAGTCTGATAAAAATAAAATTTACTGTTTTTTTATGTTTGATTACACGAAACTAAATTTTATAAGCATAGGTAGTTTACTATTTTCGAACCCAAATCTTCGCAATTAGGGAAATTAAAAAAGTTAAATTTGTTTATTTGGACAATTCGCCGAGAAATATGGTAAGAATTAAAAAATAACTAATTTCTATCACCAAAAATATGCAAAGACTGTTCTTATAGTGTCTTAGAAAATTTGTAAACAGCTGGATGTTAAAAAAATAAAGTTGGGTCAAACCAATGGTTTGTATTGTAGCACTTTTCCCTTCAACAAGTGAAAATTCTGCTTTTAAATAAGTCTATGTATACCTATCAAACTATTAAAATTATTTTCATTCATATACAAAACTATTTCTAGAATTGCATATATTTAGGATGACGCATATATGCAGTGTTTGAAATAAAGCAAAAATTAATATAAAAAGGGGTTAACATAATGCTCGATTTTAAGGGTTAATTGTGTGAGTTAAGAAAAATAATTATATTTTTTAATTTCATGGAATTTACCGTTAGCTTTTTGCGTTTATAAAAATTTGGAAAAGCTTGCGGTTTCGGAAATATAAGGTGTCAAAAATTCAAATTTTACGAATTTCAAGAGGTGATAACATGAGAGGGGGTGGAGATGGAAAAAAATTTTCTTCAAACGAAATGAACTATTTGTTAATGTCTAGAAGCTGCTAAAATTTCAAGCTTCTACAGGCTGGGGTCAAGAAGAAAAATGACATCAAAAATTTGGAAAAAAAGGACTTTAGATAACGGTAAATTTGAACGGCCATTTTGTTTTTCTAAAGTTTAACTATAGTATATCGCGCTAGGGGAAGCAAGCCACTGCCTTTCTGCGTTTGCAAAATTTCAAAAATGCTTATGGTTTCATTGCAACAAATATTTAAAAAAGGCCATTTTTAGGGTTTTGGGAGGGTATAACTTCTGGAGGGTGGGAGATAGGTAAAAATTTTGTTCAACGGAAATAAGTTTCTAGTGAAGATCTATGTACGTATGAAATTTCAGCTTTCTATCTTAAAGGGTGTAGAAGTTTTGTAAACAAAAAAAGTGTCCACGGACGGACGGACGGACAGAGTGAAACTAATAAGCACTTTTTTCAAAAATTTTTTTGGAAAAGTGCTAAAAACTGGCAAGTAGGAAAAAGAACATTACAATCACTACTCAAAAAGCAATACATACTTCATTTTTGATTGTTATGTTTAATTTTAAATTAATGCCTTACCCAGCATTTACACATACAAGTTACTTGCAAGCAAGTTTGTATAATATTAATTGTCAATTAGTTTTTCGAAATGTCAAATTACTTGCTATTATGACGTAGGCGTTTAGCAAGTTAATTTTTGAAAATGTCTTTGAGAAGAAAACAACTAGCAATATATATAATTGTTTATAAATTTTAGAAACCATAAGTTTGCTAAGTTTAATTTTTTCAAAACAAAATTCAAAAATTTTAAATTAAAAAAAAAAAAAAAATCAAAACAACAAATTTTTTTTTGTGAATTTCTCAATATGTCAAATTACTTGCTCAAATTACTGGCAGCAAAATTTTCTTGCAAGTTGAACTGCAAGTAAACAAGCAAGTAGAAATATTTCAATGTGTTAGTAAAATTTTTGTATGTATTGCAACTTTCTTGCAAGTAACTTGTACGTGTAAATGCTGGGTTAGAAATATAAGAATGTACATGTAGATGTACATATGTACATACACATAATTGTTATGTGAAATACATTCATTCTGGCAAATTATTCAAAAGTATTACGATTTACCTTACAAATTACCGTAATCAAATTCAAAATTTGAAAGTAATTTTATTAAGAAAGTTATAAAATGTTGGATTAATATTAAAACATCTCAAAGAATATAGACGTACACATATTGAAATAAAATAAAATCTGATGTGGTGAGTACATAACCGACCGCAATGTGTATTGTCTAGTTAAGTGAAAGTGTTACAGAATATTATAATGTCTGTTAAATACTTCTTTCCAATTTTTAGAACATTAGTAAGCTTAAAGTTAACATACCTAGAAAAATGTAAATTTGCCTTTAGTAGAATTTTGCTTTGTGCTACCTGAATTCACAGACATGCTCGCCAGTTAGTTTCGGTAACAACCAGAACTCAAATATGAAATTTCAAGAAATTCCATCAATTCGTTCCGTTGATATGGTGAAAGCTGTAAAATCGGCCCGCAGATCAGTTTTCGAGCCCTGATCTTTCCAAAAAATTTATATGTTAATTGTTATATGTTAACGAAGAATTTAAATATTAAATTTCAATGAAATCGGTTGATTATTTCTCTTTATATACGCAAAAATGTATATTTGGCCCGTAGTAAACGTCTAGTTGCTGAGGCCTGATTTCTTTCAAATAGGAGGGTTCGCGGACGGTCGAGCGAAGCTTATATATGAAATTTCAAGCAAATCGGTTGAATAGTTTCATCAAAATGGTCAAAAATGTAAACAGACCCACTAAAAAGTGCAGTTCCCGAGGCCTGATGTATCCCAAAAGTTGATCAATCCGTGCCATGGTCGAAATAAACTTACATATAAAATTTCATCAAAATCGGTAAAAATACACTTCCCTACTATGGAGAAGCGCATTCCCACCGAAAACTCGATATGCAAATTTTGTTGCCATCACATCACCTACCTATTGTATACACAATACGGTCGGTAAAAAGTAAAAATAATTGCAGGAAAATAATTGCAAAATAGTGTATTTCACAAAAAGAAAAAGATAATTACATACATATTGTATGTAATAATTGATACATAAGTATTTATATAATACAGTATCATACCTATTTTTATATTAAAACGAATGGCTATATGTATATTCAGCAATTAAATAGTAAGTATTTTCATTTTAAGTGTTTTAGTACAAAATAATTTAAATTTTGTCAAGATTTTCATACTACCAAAGTATCGATAAATTATTTTTGCCTAACACAATATAATATACACACATATGTACATATGCATGGGCTTACATAAAATACTTAGTTTGAGGATATAAGCTATGTATAAATACATACATACGTATTACGTACCTGTATATATATGTACATACATTAACTAAAAAAAAAAAGAGCAAATCATTAACAAAAGTTAACTTACCGAAATCAATAAATTGCTTAATGGAAAGCGGTGATGGATTGAATTGAGAATAGAAATCTAGAAATGTTTGTACACTCCGGAGCCTTGGCAAAATAACCCTCATTTCACATGTACGTGTATGTATATACTTTTTTTGCAAAAAATAAAACAATAAATCGAACTTCTTATTAAAGCTGTGTTATCTAGTGAAGTTAAAGTATAAAAAGTTTTTCTGAGAATTTTTATTTTACACAAAGTGTTGTGAATTAAATTAAATTTATTACAAATTCGTTAAAATGTGTCAAAGATTAATATCTTTGCAACTTCCAACTCTACTAAAATGTGAAATTTACAAGACAATTTTTTCCCATCCCATTTATACTAACAAAAAAACAATTCATAATATTGTCCACACCAGCATTTTATTGCCAGATTTATATAATTTTTCAGAATTTTGAAAGGTCTACCAGATGACCAGATTTCTTTCCCAAAATGCCAGATTTTTCGCATTGTAAAAATCTAATCACTCTAAATTTTTCCTTTTGTGAAATTTGTTCTTTTGTTTAAGTAATAAGAAACGATTGATATAAGTATAAATTAATATAAAAAAAAATTTATATTAAATAGAAATGTCATCTAATTGACGGTGAAGCTGGATAATAATCATCTTATTGTGAGTTCTAATAGACAGCGACTGTCTATTTCACTAGTCGAATACTAATTTTGATACTGTTTTTACAAAGAATAAGGTTGATTTTATTACGGACATACACTACAAGTTCAGCTTCATTTTAAATGTAATTTTGCCCTGATAGCTCACAATGAAATGGAGAATTGGTTAAAAACCTATCAACCTTGATTTGTACAAGTATGTGCTTAAATTAAACATAAAAGCTGTTTTTTTTTTGTCAGATTGTAAGCCAGTTTTTTTTATATTGCCAAATTTTTCAGATTGTTTGGGAAATTTTTAGATTTTCTGTAAAATCACTCAACTTTAATGTAATTAACGTGGCAAAATGAAAGGCTGCATAAGTAAACACCTAGAAAACAGAATTTGTCATTGTAAATCGTTTTTTTTTAAGCCATTGTTGTGTTTGCAAATGCTAATAAAAAGTTTGTCAGAGAAAAGACTTGCCAAAACGATTGCAATTTGCCTAGATAGAAGTTTGTTTTATTTTATTACTTTTAATCTAACGAGCTTCCATTTTTAGGATTTTTATTTTCGGAATGGATATAGACGATATAGAAGTTTTGGAGGATTTGTTTCTTTTGAGATTATTAGAAAAAGAAAAACATATTGACACATAACAATGCTATGTTTAAATTGTGACACATAAAAATAAGATGAGCGTATTTATTTTGGGTCACGTATAAATTTAATTGCGTATAGCAGCATGCGACCCCCATTTTACTTCAAAATTTGTCCCATTATACTGCTTGCAAGAAAAAAATTTATTCGATTGCGACTATTAAAATTTTTCAAAAAAAAATTCATGTATTCAGTCATAGATAATAAATATAGAAACATAAAATTTCATGCAAATTTAATATTTGTTAAATCAAAACAATCAATAAAGTCAGTTCAAAATGTCATTTCTCTTTTAAAACATTGCCGACCGTTATAAAAAATCTGATTTTACGACCGATCGGGGAAATCCCTCCGTGTGACAATGTAATGCAATGGAGTACTGCATACGTGGATTTAAGCATATTAAATATATATATTTTATATTATATATTTTGATGTTCTTTTCTCTTCGTTGATCGCTATATATAACGGTATATCAGCAATATTTCTGATGAAAAGATATTGCTGATATTGGATCATAGCTTATAGTACCATCGTCTACAATTTCAGTCTGAATACAATTTTTGTACTAAGCAGAACAACTCTATATCTTTTTTGTGATATATTTTTGTAATATAATAAAAGACCTCAATAAAATTTCCCAGGAAATTGAAGATGCTTTTGATGAATTTTACGTTGATATTGAATCAGAGTTTTCAGAAGACGATGTTGATAGAACCAAAAATGCGCGGTGGATAACTTATATCATAGAAAAATAAGTAATTGATTACTTATTTCTCTATGCTTATATTCAGTTGAAATTCGTGCGGTCGGCAATGTGTTAAATAAGCCATGCAAGAAACTCGAGTGGTTCATACTCATACTCACATAGTACAAAATTTGCCGACGTCTGGCATAGTATACATATAGATACAGCCTTTACTAACAAATACGGAAAACTGAAGTGGCTTGAACTGAATTCATTAAATTTTTTGAGTTTATTTAATTTTTGGTTGAAGACCAAAGCGAAACACAACGAATTAGAAATATTAAAGGAATGAGCATTTTGACAAAACAATGAAATCAAATTCTTTTTAGTCGTCTTTTTCCTTTATTCAAAGTGCTGTCAAAGTCATAACAGTATTAATATTATTTTATTTGCCCTCTAATGTAGAATATGTGTAATTTGTAGATAGATAAGTAAAAAAGATTTTTAAAATAAAAACAAAAAAATTTTTATAATTTTCTATATATGTAATGTATGAAATATCTGTATATTTGAATATATTTATTTTATAAATTGAAATAAAATATACAATATCTTACCTTGGACTGAATGTTTTTTTTAATATGTTCCTTTTGTAATATAAAATTGCTGCTTTGACTCTAGCTTATTTTAGGTAGGGTGTTTCGCAATTTTGATTGTTTCATTTATTCTAAGAAAGCAATGCAACTGAATTTTAAATTATAATTGTTAATTACACTTTTAAACAAGATGAGAAAGGTTAAATTTAATGTGTTGAATTCGAAAGTAATACTAGTAAAATTTGGAAGCTAAGAAATTATTAATTAAATTAATGTTAATTTTAAATGAGTAAAATGCAAAAATTTAAAGGATTTTAAGTACAGTAAAAAATTCATAAGAGAAAATAACATGATTATTTAAATAAATTCGGAATTGTACAAAATTTAATATAGAAACATGATTTTAAATACAAAATTTTAAGAAAGGTTTTAAGTCCAATAAATTTTAAAGCTTACAAAAAAAAAACAATGTTATGGTAGACTGCTGAAATTCTTTAATTAATAAATTACGGAATATGCAAATCAACTAAAATGTAAATTTTTATCATCTAGGAAACCTACATATTGGCCAACTGTACTCCAGATCTCAGAGATTTTTCTAATCATTCTAACATCAACCTGATTGTAAGTGAAACAATAATTTTAAAAAACGAACCGTTGTAGCTCTCAAATAAGACCACGAACTGGTGTGAATTCCCTCATGGTCTATGCCGCAGTATTAACTTAAGCCTTTCATTAAGAGCAGCTAATCAACTGGAAGAGGAAGCTAACAATTTCATTGTAAATGTACAAAGGCAGTCTGGAATAACACATCAATCAAAAAGGCATACACTTACCGTAATCGCTTACCCAAAATGCCAGAGAAAATTATACTCTGTAGAAATGAGTAAATTTTTAAATTAGGGAAGAAAAGAAAAGCCGGTAAAAGATAGAAAATGTATTACTGTCCTCCAGACAAAACCAGAATTATCCAATTAAGTAACAAACTAAAGAAACTTCTACAGGCCAAAAAAAAATTTTATTTTTATTCTATCTTATATTATATCATTAATCAACAAATTATGTAAATATCAATTATTTAACTATGAAGAACAAAGCTTTTACTTTTATTGTGTATTTTCTTTTTTTTTGTTTTGTTTAGTTTTTAGTTTTGGCGATGCTATAAGGTATTAAATCTACTAAGATAGGTCTGATATATTGTAATGTTTCAGTCTGCTTCTGTGTATAATGTTGAGCAAATTTACGGGCAGCTGGTTAGGACGGTTTAATAATCTGGAGTAGTAATTTACAGGTACTAGTTTCAAAAATTTTCTCCACGGATTCAATATTTAAATCCTTTCGGATGGAACTGTTTTTCACGTACCAAGGAGCATTAACCATTTGACGTAATACTTTTGCTTGAAACCTGTTAGCTTGAATTCTCCATTTTTTTTTTAACCATTTGTGTATACAGTTCAATCCAGTTTGAAGTTTCTTTGATGCAATTTGAGAACTATTTTGTGAAGCTAATAGAGCCGTATCGTCGGCAAATGTTGCTATAGTTATGTCATCTCTACTTGTAGGTAGATCTGCCGTATAAAGCAGGTATAGCATGGCTTTTGTGAAGCACGCTACCTTAAGGCACTCCTGATTTTATATCGTAAAGCCGGGAAATTTCACCATAAACTTTCTGTCTATCAGGTATGACCTTAAAATTAAATAAAAGTGATAAGGTAAGTTCTTTTTTAGCTTATAGAAAACACTTTTATGCCAAACCTTATCAAAAGCTTGAGAAATGTCAAGAAATCCCGTCAAGGATTTTTTCATCGTACTCTTTTTTTTCAAAAACTTTCGGGATTTTTCAAATAAGTGATGAATTCACGATAACAAATTTTTTCAAATAAGTGATGAATTCGCACGATAACTCAAAAACGAATTATGCAATCGATACCAAACTTTCACAAGTTTTTTTTTTTGTGACAAGGACGAACCCTATTGTAATTGTACTAATTCGGACAACGGGTTCGGGTAGCTGCCATATAACTCAAAGAGTTTATTTTAAATATTTCAAAAACTAATAAAGCTATAAATATAAAATTTTGTATACATGTGTCCAATTACATTCTACACATGCACTAAAAATTATAATGGGATAGCTGCACCAGTTCGGGTGGCTGCTATACAACTCCAAAAGAAAAATTTTTTATATTCGGAAAAATAATAAGGTCAAATTTATGAAATTTGTCTGTCATGGGTCCAATTATAGGTCAAATATATCTCTGAAGTTTTAGAGGAATTGCTTGAAAGGTTCGGGAACCTGCCTTACAACTCCAGAAGCTAATTTTAAATATTTGGAAAAATAATAAAGTCAGATTCATGAAACTTGGCAGTTGTGTGTCGAGTTATAGGTCAGATATATTTCTGAAGTTTTGGTTGAATTGCTTGACAGGTTCGAGTAGCTCCCATACAAGTCTAAAAGCTTATTTTAAATATTTGGAAAAATAATAAAGCCAGATTCATGAGACTTGGCAGTCGTGTGTCCAATTACAGCTCAGACATATTTCTGAAGTTTTGATGGAATTGCTTGACAGGTTCAGGTGCTTGCCATACAACTTCAAAAGCTAATTTTAAATACATATTTGGAAAAATTATAAAGTCAGATTCATGAAACTTGGCAGTCGGGTGTCCAGTTATAGGTCAGACATATCCGTGAAGTTTCTATAAAATGGTTTCACAGGTTCGAGTAATTGCTATACAATAACGAAAGGTGCAGGGTATAATTCAATCGGTTTATATCGACTGAAACGTTTTTACTTGTTTTAATTTTAATTTATCCGATGAAGCTTTAATCGATTGCCAAGTTTTACGGAGTTTTCTTTTACTTTTTATTTTTTCCCTATGAGCTATCGTGCATACTTCATACGTTTCTACGTTTTTTTATGCTGGAGTTGCTTTTTTTCAGCGTATCCACCACCACGAAATTAATTTTTTCAATTGCATAAGATACATCTCCGTTTGTTTTCACTAAAAACAAAGGAAGATGTATCTCTTTTAGTTTAAAGTGATTTGGGTAAAAACCTTTAGTAATGCAGAAGTCGATTAGTATCATTTCATTTTTCATTTTTTCATTTCATTTTATTTATTTCAATTACTTAAACTAATATTACAAAGGTATTCCATATAATATTTATATTGCATCCATCAACTGCATACTAGTATTGAATATCATAAAAAATAAACTAGATAATAAAACAGTAATAACAAAAAAAAATGTAATGCAATTCAAGTATGATAGTCAAGGTAATTTTTTTGGGATCTGACGGCCAATATGTTGGTGTACTCGTTGATGCGTGGCACAAGTTGTGTTCTGCATTGCCATATATTTGTTGTCTGCCTGTATATGTTGTGATTATTGATCCTCAGTGAGTGTTTTTGCGTTGAAATCCCCTCCTGCAATAAACCTATTGCTTAATGTTTTAATGTAGTCACTGTATTGGACTTTTGTGATACTATTTCTGGGCGGACTATAAGTGCTGAGACTGTAATATGACCAGTGAAATATTTTATTACAATACTGGTTGCTTCTATATGATCCGTTATATATTTATCTATTTCGTGGTGTTTGATATTTTTCCTTATTAAAATTGCATAGCTACCATGAGCTTTGCCGTTTGGACGATTTTTAAAATAAGGTACATAGTTATATATATTAAAATAATAAAAAAAATTAATATTGCTATTTTTTGTTAAGTTAAATTCGTATTCATAAATGTTTTGAGTTCGTTTCTGTGTAGACTAAGGCTGTTTGCATTCCAATGAAGAATATTCAACAATTAAAGCATTAGCTAATTATTGTGACTAGTGTTGTTAGTACTTTTAGCAATGGACTTATCTGATCTTAAAGTTATTTCATTACCGTTTTCAGATCATTTATATCACTTAAATTTTTGTGATAAATTTTTTGATTCAGTTTAGATATTTGTTGGTTGTCTACAGTAGTTGACTGCTGTTGCATTTTTATAGTTTTTGTATCCTCAATGTCGCTCTAGCTGCTTGCGAATATGATAATGATGTTGAACTTAAGGCGTTGGTAGGGGTGAATTATTCGTTGGTGTTTTATGTATGTAGTTTTGTGGTTTAGTTCTCGATAAGGGATACCTCTTTTTTTGTAGATCTTTATAGTAAGCATAACCTTTGTAGTTTACGGGATGATTTCCTTGGCATAAAACACATTTGATTTTATCAGTTCTTCCTTTCGCTTCGCAAAGTTTAGTTAGATGAACGCCTGCAGATTTGATGCAATGGAAGTCCCTGCTATAAAATCTGTAAGTATGACTGTAACTTTGACATCTAGTACATATTAACTCTTGCATGTAAGGTATCTTTAATGTTATACATAAATATTTTTGTTGTTGCTATTAGGAGATAGGTCTACATAGACCAATTGCAATCGCTTTCCATCCGACCTTCTTTTTATAATGCGCACATTATTTTCAAAAACTGGTATGCTGGAATTTGTATGCTGGTTAATTCTGTTGAGGGGTGAAGACTCCTCAATACCAAAATGTAGAGACCAAAAACTAGTCCATCAAAAGCAAATTGAAAAACCTAGCGGAGAAAAACTCCGTAACTCATTGTGGAAAATTACTAAAAAACCCCAAACTTCAAATACTCCCATTAATAAAAGAAGATAGCACATGGGTTATCACAGACTTGGCTTGTTCCTTTGCAAGTTATTTAGAAAACATATTCAAACCTCTTTCACAGCAGACTATCGACGAAGATATTTGCCAAAGAGCAATCTAAGATGAAACACCTGTTAGAAAAATAACAAAATTAAAAATAAATGATTAAAGATAAATTTACAAAAAATATTAAAGATAAATGGATACAAGCATTAAGAATTGGACACCCAGGAAGTATTTTTATTTTGGAGAGCTTTAAATATAATTTTTGCCTGAGCCAAATATAATTTAATCAATTCTCTACTAATGTTAAGATTTCAGCAATTTAAATAAGTATGCAATTTAATCTATAATAAAAGAAAATTAAAACATTTTATGTAATTTAGGTGAATACATACATATGTAGGTACATTTGTACGATAAAATTTGTAGGTTTTCTCAAAAAATATTACTAGTTTTAAGAAAAATGGATTAATAATTTTATTTTTTTCATGTAAATATATTATGTAGCTTAAAAAAAAGGTAAATTCAAAAATGTTTTTACAAAAATAGCTTTTTTATGAATTTACTATTTTTGTTTTATCTGAAAGATGTTTCGTTACCAGTAATTTATTATTAAAAACATGAAATAAAATTTTGTTATTATTTAAACTAAATAAAATAATTTCTGTATACATATATGTATTTTGTATTTAATTGTTTTTAATTTTTCAAAGATCATAAATCACCGTGAACATTTCTAATTTATTCGAAAATTCCTAGTATAAGAATATCTTTTTTAGCAAAAAGTATGATGATCAATTTTTAATACGCCGTATGTATGCATTAGTACATTGTGTATTTCGAAGCCTTATATAAAGATGGCTGTGGTACAAGCCATCTTAATATTTTTGCATTTGTGTGTATAGGAAAATGAAGATTTATAGATGCATTTGTGTTATTAAATAAAATGAAGATTTATAGATTATATTAATAAAATTTTTTCTTTTGTTCGTAATATTTAACACCAAAAGTGCTTTTAAAAAAATTGTGCTAAATTTATTTAAAAGAAAAAATTGACTTAAAAAATTGGTAATATTTGGTATATTTTTTTAAATTTTTATTGTACGGATATTGCGTCGGATGTTGCATTTCTATAAGAAGCAATAGTCTACGAGAAAAGTTGAACGTAAATGCTGTATATACATCTACTTTTCCAAAGAACAAGGTCATCAAGAATAAATAGATACCTACAAGCATTAGGAAAAAGGAATTCGAACCCGACGAAATATTTTTAATTTGTAAGAGGATTAAATTTTATTTTGTTGCCTTTGGCAAATATTATTTTATCAACTACCCTTTCCAATTATCAATTAATTTCCAATTAATTTGAATTTTATATAATATAGTAAGATATGAGTAACATTACACAATATCTATTAGGCCACCAAGCTCAAACAATAAGT